TGTTCACTGTGAGGCTGGTAATGACCACAGGGTCAGGTTCTTGGCCCCCAGGATTGTAGGCTGGCACCTCGGTGAGAAGAGGTTTCTGAGGAGGCTTCCCCTGGGATTATGCCAAGTGTTGGGGAGAACTCAGCACATTCCAGTGGTATCTGGCTTCCATGGGGTGAGTTTCCCTAAAAACTGTGGGGCCACAGCAAAAAATGAGGGTCTCCCCCTTACCACCCTTTCCCTCCACAGCTTCATCGAGGACAATGAAATTGGCTCCATCTCTAAGAATGCTCTCAGAGGACTTCGCTCACTCACACATCTGTATGTGCCTCCAAGGCCTCACCTCTCCACTGCCCCAGCCCACCCTGGCAGGCACCCCACACCCCATCATCCACAGCATAGGCTGTCCTCGTAGCTGCTGATGGTTCCTCCTCTTTCTCTCCTTCCACCAGGAGCCTGGCCAATAACCATCTGGAGGCCCTCCCCAGATTCCTGTTCCGAGGCCTGGAGACCCTGACTCATGTGTGAGGCTCAAGGGGGCTGCGTGGGGAGGTGGGAATGTTTGAGGAGGGAGGGGATATCTGTGCCCACTTTTGGTAGGCACAATGTGTATGGCTGCAATGATGCATATTCCTCACACCACCTGTGGGGCTCCATCCTGAACTCTTACCTGGGGAGGGGTGGGGAGTGTGGCCTCCAGATGGTGGAAGCCGGGTCGCAGCCCCTCCCCGGCCTCTTGCCCCAGGGACCTCCGTGGGAACCCGTTCCAGTGTGACTGCCGTGTCCTCTGGCTGCTGCAGTGGATCCCCAGCGTGAACGCCAGCGTGGGGACCGGGGCCTGCGCCGGCCCCACCGCCCTGGCCCACATGCAGCTCCGCCTTCTCAACCCCAAGACGTTCAAGTGCAGAACCATAGGTGGGGGCTTTCCCTGTGGGGTGGGAGGGACAGCAGGGGTTCCCAGAAGAAGGCGGGAGATCAGGGGGACAGAGGCCTGGGCTGAAGGGTTCACCTCACTTCCTGCTTCCTGCCATTTCCTGGCTGTGAGACTCTGAGCAAGCAGCATCACCTCCCTGACCCTCAGTTTCCTCATCTGTAAAATGGAGGTAATAAACAGTGAGAATTCAGTGATGTATCCACGCCTGTATAACATCTGGCACAGAGCCTGGAATGGGAGGCCCTTATAAATGTTCATTCTTGTTACTCTTATTAATATAAAAATGGCCATTTCTAAAATGCTTCCTATGACCATTTTGCTTTTCCATAAACATATGTTGGTGCCGTTATGGGTACTGGGCAATGCAGAAAGCACAGCGGTGATGAAATGGTCCTGGGTCTTGTCCTCATAGAGTCCACAGTCCAGAGGGCAGCAGAGCCTGGAATGATCAGGGCCAGGGTGGGGGAAGCACAGAGAGGTCAGGGCTGGGAGGTGGGGAGCCCCCGGGGCTATGGGAGCCCAGAGCCAGAGCAAGAGCCAGATACTCCTGAAGGAATGGGCATTTGGGTTCAAATCTGAAGGCTATTAATATAATAATAACTATTATCATCATCATCATATCTAAATGTGACATGTTTTAGGTTTGTCGAACTCATAGAAGAAGAGAATTTAACTTAAGGGTCATTTAATATATATATATATGTATATATATATATATATATATATATACACACACACACACATATATATATATTAAATATATTTCTTTATTGATTTAAGAGAGGAAGGGAGAGGGAGCGATAGAAATATCAATGATGAGAGAGAATCATTGATCGGCTGCCTCCTGCACACCCCCTACTGGGGATTAAGCCCGAAACCTGGGCACGTGCCCTTGACGGGAATCAAACCTGGGACCCTTCAGTCCACAGGCCGATACTCTATCCACTGAGCCAAACAGGCTAGGGCAAGGGTCATTTTAAGTTATTTAACAAATATTCACCGAGGCCCACTCTGTGCCTGGCCCTATGAAAGGCAATGGGCACACTGTGGTGACCAAGATAACTCTGGACCCTGGCCTCCAGTTCTGTGGGGAGGAAGGGAGAGACAAACATTAAATAAAACATTGCACAAATAGATGTATGTTACATATTGTGATAAACACAGGGAGTGATGAGGAAAATTAAGGGGGGGTCCTACCTTACATGGGCATCTGATAAGAGTTTCTAAAGAGATGGCATTAGATCTGGATGTAGCTATCTGAGGTTAGAGGGAAGGACATTGCAGAGAGGGGGGTGTATGTGCAATGGCCCTGAGGCAGCACAGAGCCTGTCCTGCTTGAGGATCAAGGGAAGGCAGGTTTGGTTTGGGAGAGTGAGTGAAAGGAAGGACACATGAGGTCAAAGGTGCAGGAGTCTCACTGTACAGGACACTGAGAGCAACGGAGAGGAGAGTGGATTTCACCGAGGCTGTGGGAAGCCATGGTGGGTCTTGAGCAGGGAGTGATCATTTGATGGACATTTTAAAAGATCCCCCTTTGGGTGGGCATCCTGGTTAGTTTGGGTCATTGCTGCAATCCTGGCACTTAGTAACAGGCCTGGCATATCGAGTGAAGTAGTATGACCCGGAGTCAACTGCTCAGTTCCACCACCACTCTGCTGGGCAACCTGGGTGCACTGTTACCATAAAAGCTAAGTTGTAGCAAAGAGATTCAAAATACCCTGAGTGAAAGAAGACAGAGGGCCTGCGATGTGCACTCCCAGCACATCTGGGTGTTGTCCTGGTTTTCATGGTTGACACTGACTTGTAGCACGTCCATCTGCCAGGTCTTGGGAGTAAGGGGAAGGAGACCAAGTCCAGGGTGAGCCACCTTCATACGCTTGAGGCAAGCTTTGCAGCCACCACTCTGCTCTTGTTCCATTGGAAACTTGGTTTGGACATGGCCACACCTAACTTCAGGAGGGGGTCCTGAGGGGGTGCTGGGTGATGTGGCCTCTAGCTGGGCAGGTTGTGCCCACCTCCAGTCCTATTTCATGGAAAATGGGAAGGATGGATTTTGCTGGACAACTGGCTGCCTGTGTCTCTTAACCTTAGTTTCCTCATCCGTAAAGTGGATATAACAGTGGAATGTACCTCACTGGGATTTGGTGAAGTTAAATGAATTAAACATGCTGTTTCTAAGCAGTTATTTGATGATGCCACCAAGCTTAGAAAATAAAGTATTATCATGTTGTTTTGAATTAATACAGCTATAGATTAAAAAGATTCCACTCTATGTACCTATGAGATGAACACCATGACGGCCCTCATTTCAGAGATGTGCAAACCGAGGCTCAGCGATGAAGACCTTTGGGGTCTCCCGGGCCTGCCTGACTTTCTCCTGCCATCCCCAGAGCTGTCCCGGTTCCAGACGGTTGGGGAGTCGGCGCTGGGCGTGGAACCTTTCTCCTACCAGGGGGAGCCCCACATGGTCCTGGCACAGCCCTTTGCTGGCCGCTGCCTGATTCTTTCCTGGGACTATGGCCTGCAGCGCTTCCGGCTTGAGGAAGAGCTGTCTGGTGAGCTCCCCCTCTCATCTTCCTGCCTGCGGGGGGGCGGGGGCTGGGGGCTGCCCTGCCCAGCCAGTCTGATCTGCCTCTTGCTCCCTGACTCCCCCACAGCTCCCTCGGTGGTGTCCTGCAAGCCCCTGGTGCTGGGCCTGCGCCTCTTCGTGCTGGCTGCCCGCCTGTGGGGAGGCT